ATAACTTTAAATTATTATAGTAGTTTTTATAAGCTATTATATAGCATTACTAATTATTAAGGTTTAGGTTAGAGACTATAGTGTTAGAACTAAGCTAGGTGCTGCCTATATAAAACTTTATAACCTTAGGCCTCTAGAGTATAGTGTTAACTAGAAGATTTTCTAGTAAAAGATCTAGGTTAATATACTTCTAAACATGTTTTCTTATTGCTTATATCTTAATATAACTAAACTAGGGCTACTAGTTACTCTTTTTAGTAAGCTATATAAAGGCATTAATATTTAAAGTTATTTTTTTATATGTTAATAGTAAAGAGTTGCTTATAACGTACTTCATGGGCGAGTCGCTCACACACCCGAGTCGCTCACTTTTGCCAAGACCCCACCCTAACAAACTCTATTATAGCCCATAACAACCTGCTCTAGCACTATATAGTACAGTACAGCCTAGAATATTATTTAGATACTACTTCTGCTTCTTGCTTACATGTTTGCGTGTTATGCCTAGTCTAATTGCACTATCTGCAGCACCTTTAGAATAGCTTACCTACTTTAGCTTACACCTGCTTCTTTGCCTTCTTTCTATTACTGCGCGCTTTAAACTCCTTTAGAGCTGTTAAGCGCAGGCTTTTTTAAATTATTAAGGTTTTTTTTACTTTAATTTGCTTTTTTTTATGTAATTTATGTTGCGTAGCAGCCTTATTAGCTGCTTAAAGCTTAGTAGTTTCCTGTTATGCTAACGCTAGCTTATGCGCAATTATTACTACCCCCTTTAAGACCTTTTTAAACGCCTTAACTATAAAAGTTAGTAAACTATTTATATACTTCTAAATTTTTATTTTTATAAGCATTAATTATAACTTAAGTTCTAGGGTATTGCTTAGAGTTTACAACTGCTAGGGCTTATTATATATAGGTAGTAGTAGTAATAGAGTGCGCAACTTTACATTAAGGCTTATTATAACTTATTATAGGTTAAAAAAAACTAATCTAGCGCTTTAAAACCTTTCTTAGATATTACTAAAAGTAATTATAGCATTATACGCTACTTTAAAGCATAGTAGGAACTTTATTTTTATAATATAAGTAATTTAGTTATGTATAAGGTTTTTAGCTTAGCGCTTATATACTTTCTTTAAAGAAGCAAAATAACCTACATTAAGTAGCTATAATAGGTGTAATAAGTAAAAAAGTATGTAAATAGTAATAATCTTATTATCTTTATAGTATTACTAGAAATAAAGTAAGTTATAGCTTTTATAGCTATTAATAACTAGTAGATAGTAGCTACTAATAGTACACTTTTTTATATACATATTAAAGTGCTTTAACTAGTCTAGACTAAGCTAATTAGTAGTCTAGCTATGCTTAAAGATTATAATAACTTAATTCTAAAGTAGATTTTTTTTTATACTAGTTTAAAAAGTAGTTGCTACTTTAGAAGATAATAAAAAGCAAATAGCCTACCTTTTAGCATTAATGCCCTAGATAGCTGTTGTCTACTTCTAGTTACCTAGCTAGACTGCTTTTAGCTGTCCTTATCTTTTTAAACCTGTAACAACTGCTCTAGTAAATATCTAGCCTATTATAAACTCTATTTTGTTAAAGTTGTACATGTTATTATTCTAAATACTATACTTAGCTTTAATATTCTTTATAAGGTTAAACTAGCTTTAAATTACTATAAAATCTTTATAAAAGGCTTTTTTATAGTTATACTTATACTTAAACTTTACTTTAAGCTCTAGGTAACACTTAATAAACATATTAAGCTAGTTTATACTAATATAGCCTATATTATGCTTAGCGTGTAAAGAATTAGCTATATTAGCTATAGCTACTAGCTAAGAGGGAAATCCTTACGCATCTAGCTTAAGTATGTGCTAAATAATTACCTGCTTTTTATTATTATCTAGCTTTTATAAGTTAGCTATATAATTAGCTTAAAAAAGTTGTTTAGCATGTTAGTTACTTATTATCTTTTAAAAAACTTTATAAATAGCTGCAGCATGTTAGTTAAAAAGTGTTACATTTTATTTAAAAGCCTAGAGTGTAAGCTGCATTTAATGTTTCTTTAACATGTTTAAGTAGTGTTGTTAGAAATGCATTAGTGTAGAAAAAGTAGTGTAGTAGGGTCTTAGCAAAAGTAAGTAACTTAGGTGTGTGAGCAACTTGCCTATAAAGTACGTTATAAATTAAGTAGGTTTTTTATTAATAAGCAGTTTTAGTTTAGTAAATAAAAAAGTTATTATTTAGTTAATTAAACTTAGCTAGTAAGTAATCTATAATTAATATGTTTTAAAATAGATTGAAAGTTATTGTCTAGTTAATTAAGCTTAGCTAGTAAGCAATTTATAATTAATATGTATAAAAAAAACAGAAAGTTGTTATCCTATTAATTAAGCTTAGGTAGTAAGTAATCTGTAATTAATATGTTTTAAAATAGACAGAAGGTTATTATCTAGTTAATTAAGCTTAGCTAGTAAGTAATCTGTAATTAATATGTGTTAAAGTTTACAGAGCCTTTTAAGGTAGATGCAAAAGCTAAATGTACAGTAGTAACTATAGTACTAGTTAGAAGCGTAACTCTAGGCTTATAACTCTTGCATGAGCTAAGAAGAGGTTATATAGTAAGCAAATTAACAAGGTACTAAGATCTAAACAAAGTAGACTGCACAAGTGTATTATAAGGTCTAAGGAGCTTAATAGAGCTCTAGGCTAACTATATACCGTACAAGAAAGGAGCTATGCCTAATAAGTGAATAGTGCAGTACATGGGTATGACATCGCGTGAGACACGTGCGACAAACACTAGTGGCGTTATTGTTGTCTGTGAAGCCTTTACAATATCTTTACAATCTGGTAGCTTAGGTGTTGCGGACCCTAGAATTCTGTTCCATATTTCGGTCGGGAGGTATTTGAAAGAGCGAGGGCCATCCATTGTAAAGCATGAGGGGAAGTTTTCATTGGAACATTCCAAGGTGCTAGATGGATTCCGAGATCCGAGATCCTCTACAACGGTGGGGGCGATTGCGAAACGCGACATTTGCCAAGGCCGCACTAACCTGAAAGAGTGAAGCCACATCTATGGCGCACAGCCACAGTAATCAAGCCACACGAGGCAAATTATACGCAAGGCTGTTCCGAACTAGCCCTATTAAGTAGTCTCAGGTACCAAACAGCGTAGCAATCATGCATGAATCTACGGGCGATAGAAGCTATAAGGCTGCTGGAGACTCTATAGCAATATCACGTGATCTATAAGTTTAGTTAAGCCTTTCTATAAGGGTTTAAGAGTAAGAAGCTAGATAGTAGTACTAAAGCAATAGGAGTTATTTTTGTAACAGCGCAGGCAAGTGTCAGATTGAAGCACTGTTTCTAGGCTTCCTGAGATGAAAGATGGGTTTGGATATGATGTATGGGATGATGATTGATTGTATTGATTTATCGATCCTTTTTCTGCTCTACTCGTGTTGCTCGGCTTTTGTTTTTCCGATCCGAGGCCCTCGCGCACTAGCCCTATGCGCGACCAGCTTGCAACATGCTGCAATTTGTTGCAGAATATTGCAAAATGCTGCAACATGCAGCAATTTGCAGCAACATACTGTTCGAGCTTATTGCTCGTACTATGTAGCAGCTTTCGTCAAGCGTTCCTCCTGTCTTGACAGTAGGTGCGCATATCTGACAGCAAGACAATAGGTCCGAATGCGGTGTGAATCCACTCAGAGGCATATACCTGTCGCAGGTAGGCGCCATCTCGGCCTTACATAGCCTGGGGGTCTTCTATTGCGTATAAGGCAAATCTGCCATAGCAGTACTATGTAGTTTAGATTAAGTAATAAAGGCTTATTTATAGGAGTGTGATGACAAGTACAGTCTCTACTACTGTAATAAGCTAGTGAAGCGAGGTAGAGTTAGTTGGCTCTATTTTAGCCATATTAGGATGAGAAGAGAAGGAGGTGAGTGTCAGGACGGAGCACTGCGCTAATACAACTAAAAAGGTGCGAATAATCAACTAACAGTTAATATCTGCGTACAGAATAGTATATATACCCGTCGCACGTAAGCGCCATCTCGGCCTTACAGTGAGGCTTTCGCGAGAGAAAAGCTTGCACCGCGCCAAGGATCTAGCGCGTTCGCTTAACTATTGGCGCGATCATGTGACTACCAGCGGAACATGACAAGCAGCACCGTCACAGAGAGTCAAATAAGCTAAAATACATTGCTCTCCCTCCTAACTAGTTAATTAACAGATCTTAGTCGCCGTCATAACGCCAAGCTGCTACACAGTTGTGGCACGGTGAGATATTATAAAGTCTCTCTTCTTCATCGCTGTTGTTTCATTTGGCGCTGAGATTCAGCTGCCACTCTGTGGTCCAAGTCGGTGGGTGGGGCGAGGCGGGTGGGGTGGACTTTAGCGAGCCTGAGTCTTGTGCTGGGGTTGGAAGACAAAATCGCAAGGTCATTGCATGAGGAGAATGTCGAATCAAATTGTAGCGCTGAAGAAATATGAACTTGTTGATAAAACGCTCGTGGAAATGGTCGTCAGGAAAATAGGTGGGGATTTCGCTTCGCATGGGTGGTGGTGGGAAGACGCATGAAGTCAGTTTATGATATGCTGCAGCATGCGCCCTCACGCCCCTAGTCTCTAATTTAAAACACTGAGGCCTCTTTCGTTGGCGCGAAACTCAAGTCCACCCTATGGAATAATGTACCACAAACGCAGCCGTGTGCCACGACACGTCGGTCGGCTCGAGTCCGCATCTTCGAATACCATCAACTTCACACTTCGTGAACACAGCCCCCTTGATAGGACTGCCATAGCACTTCTCCCACCCTCCAACCCGTCGTCCGCATAGATTTTCCTTGCTGCTGTCATACTCGGCAACTAATCCAGCATCTCCGCATACCCAAGTTCCGGCGCCTCCGCTATGACTTGTTTGAGCAACTTCTATCCTGCTCCCAACATGTCCGCGTGCGCTCCAGAGATTGGGTTTACCATCTTTCGCCCCTTAACAAGGTATTCTTCATGCTTCTCTGAAATCAAGTTGCAACGGATGCCTGTTTCATCTCGCCGAGAGCGGCTCGGACAAATGGCCCCCAATCCATTGCTGACTCCGCTCTGCATCCTGACAACCACGCCAAACATTCGTCTTCAGGCCTACAAAACATTTTATTTTTCCCCACACGACAGCATTGGCCTGATCCTCGATTGTACATACCTTCAGATCCAACGCGATGCAGTACTCCCAGGTCTCTGGCTCAGGCGAAGTCTACAGACAGCACGACACACCCATCGAGGTTCACGAAACCAAGCCCACCAGATTTTCGCGACTATGGACGGCCATTGTTCAAATGGCGGTGCTTCTAATCTTGGGCATCGCAGGGTCACTGGTGCATTTCTTCTACTACCGCTCTCTTGTCGGACACGTCGTCGATGATGGGTTCTCCATCTCCCAAGAATGGAACATCCGGATTGGCACTGGACTGGCGTTCGTTTCGAAGACGAGCTGGACTTTTGCAGTTGTCGTCGCGCACGCGCAGCTCGTATGGATGACCATGTCTCGGAAGAAACTGCGCCTCGAGACGATCGATGGCATCATCATGGCGCCGACCGACCTCACCAAGTTCTTCCAGTGGGGGAGCGTGCGGAATGCCAAGGTTGGAACTCTGCTCGCTCTGGTAGCTTGGTGCATCCCCATATCCGCAATCGTAACGCCGTCCACCCTGAGCGTCGTCTCGGTTGTCACTACGGACGCTGTCAGCTCGACCGTACCGATATTGGATTTAAACAATGTCGACAAGTTCGCCGACAGCACACCGTGCCCCAATGCCCTCCTCAGTTTTTGTCCCCGAGCGTTAAATCCGGAGAATCTCACCTCTGCCCTCATTTTCCGCTACGCGAGTCCCCAAACGGATATCCAGACTGTCGCCACGGCTTCTTCAGGCCAGATCCAGGCCATGACCCCGCTCAATGTCAACGAGAGTTACTCTCTCCAGATGTATGGCCCTGTCATGCGGTGTGTCAACGGATCTGATAGGTTTGACGAGTTTCACGAATTTGTTGAGAATACCCAACCATTCGGGAGATACCTGTCTACCAAACTCTTCAGCTACTGGGCCTTCGTACCATCGAAATTTGCGAATGGCACAAAAATGGCACTGGACTGGACGAAGCTTCCAAGTGGTACTCTTGATAATGGAGTAAACTATAAGGAATATAACGATACAATGATACCTTCTGCCCCAGAGCTCTGGATGACTACCTACTGGAGCATGGATATATGCTCCTTACATAACGCGTCCTTTCAGGTTGACTTCGCGTTTGAGAAGGGTGTCCAGCGTACGAAATCCAAAGTGGAGACTCTGGAGCCACTCAAATGGAAAACCGCCGTGTCTGGCGCCGATGCTGTTGGCAACCAGACGTTCACATACCAAGCCATCTATATGGCCCTCGTGAGGCAGCTCATCGGCCTGGTTGTTGACAATCCCATCGACTCGAACGTGATGCAGACATCCGTCTCGGGAAGCATCGAGTTTGAAGACTATTTCTACGGAACTTTGTTTGAGCAGCCATACCAGCAGAACAAGACTCTCCGGCAGACAGTCGAGGAACTGAGCGAAAATGTGACGCTGTCTATGCTAGCGTCAAAGGCTCATGTGCAAGTCTCATCAATATGCGATCTGATCCTTAACTGACAACTTCGAAGCAACCCCCGTGGCTACAACACCACACTCCGTATATCCAGTATTCAAAACGTATACTGGCTCAATCAACGCATACTACTCCTCTCCTACGGCATCGCGCTAGGAGTCACGCTTGCGGCTGTCATAGTCGGAATTTTCGCATACCATGCGAATGGCGGGTCGAGAAGTCTGGCTTACTCGGCGCTGGTGCATGCGGTGCGGGGTGGTTTGGTAGGGCAATCTGGGGATGAGAAAGTGGAGAGAATCACGATGGTAGAGTTTCAGAAGTTGAGGAGTCAGGGGATAGAGATGCGGTGATCAGAGGTTGTAAGGTTAGGGATTACTTTAAGTGCTTGGGTGAAGATGATGATGGATGTTTATAAGAGCCGTAGCGCGGCTCAGCTTAAGGGTCTTCAGTTCATGTACTCGCAACCGAAACTTTAGAGACTAAATACCAGTAATTCGGCCTCGGCGAACTCTACGACCTAGAAACCTGCCTGACAGCCTAAACTTCCTTTTTGACACCTACTACTAGTTATAATACTTTGATTAGATAGCAAAGAAGAGTACAAAAAGTGTTAACTTCTTTAGTTTAAAGAATGTTATAGGCTTCTCTAGGTTTAAAGAGGCACGAGCTATAAGAGAATTTATATATTGTAGACTAGGAGTCTAAGGAGCTATATGATTTTTACAGCATAATAGGACGCTAAGCCTAAGGCCGATTCGGCAGACTATTGTAAAGTTCTTAGATTTACATATTTATATATCCAAATTCATCCTTAATAATATCGCTGGCTCTTTCTGCGACAGCATAGACTAAGCTCCTTGTGTTCCTTTGCGGAACTAGTGGAAATACGCTTGCATCTACAACCCTTAAGTTTTTGGCCCCATAAACATGGAGATTCTCATCCACGACCCCTCCCTTGTCTCTAGGTGCCATGGCACAGGGGCCGGCAGAGTGCCACTTTGTGGTAGAGCCGACTTTAACTAACTCCTTCGCCTTGTCCAGATCAGCATTCAGGAATGCTGATTCGTGTTGTCGTCGCCCGTTAGGTTTAAGAAGTGAGGCCATTGGGGCACTAGCCGCGATCGTCCCAAGATAGCGCACGTGCCTGGAATGAAGTTCCATGTCAATCGGGTTAGAGAGATATTGGTGATCAATTGCGGGTTCCGCGGTTGCTTCTGCAGAGGATATGTGCACGCTCCCTGTGGAGAGCGGGTGCGAGAGGGTGACTAAGAGGGTGATAAAATTTCCAGACTAGAGGTTAGATCCGAGTCCAGAGACACTACCTTTACCAGCTACTGTCGATTGCGCTAGAAATATGAAATACTGCCCAGTGCCCTCGTCAGCGCCCTGGAGAAGTTTCTGGACGAATTGAATTCGAGTGGAATCGAGTGGATGGTTCGTGCTTGTTCTAGCTAATTCCGCCAAAATGATGTCCCTTTCAAGTGGTGCTTCGACGAGCTCAACAGTTGGAAGATAGGCAAATGAGGAAACGCCGCTGGAGCAAAAGGGGCCTGCTTTGTGAGCTTGGTATAGATTCATGGCGAGCTCGATTGCGGTTGGATCCTGACGGAGTAGATCATCCCCAGTGAACACTCCTTCTTTAGCCTCGAAGCTAATGCTAGTAAGGATATGGTCTTGGAGATTAGTGCCAATATAAGGGTTTGCGATCTTAACCTCAATTTGGTGAGACTGCAGAACTTCTGGATCTCCGATGCCCGACAGCGCAAGTAGCTTCGGAGAATTGAGTGCCCCAGCAGATAGAACAACCGCCAGATTCGTACGCAAAGCTCTCTCGGTGCCATTCTCGGAGAACTCCACTCCCGTTGCTATCCACTCTCCGGTGCTGGTGTCAGCTTGGTCGAGAAGAATTTTCGTTACAAGGCAATTATAGAAGTCTTTCAAGTTCGGTCTTCCAGATGCCAGCACGTAGTAGGCTGTGGTAGAGGAGCTCCTTTTTTTGGTGGCCGGGTCGACTGTAGAGGCGGCATTGTACGGCCCGATAGAGTGTCCTCCGAAGGGGCTGTTGCTTAGCGGATATCTCAGTGTGCAGATTGCCTCTACCCAGGCTTTGCCAATTAGATCCTCCTTGACTCTAGGAAATGAACCTTCAACCGGCCCAGTGGCACTTCTTGCAAAATCCTCTGCCCAAGGCGTTGAAAGATGCGATGCGGTTTCATCGCCCGGAAGACTAAGCGTGAATGCCTTCTGGAGGTATGGAAATGGTTTCCTAATTGCTCCCAGGCATCAAGGTCTGAAGCAGATGGAGGAATAATGGCCTGAGCGTTAATCGCACTGGATCCGCCCAATACTCTGCCTTTCGCATGACCAATGATTCTGTCGCCTAATTCCACCTGCGGGCTAGTAAGCAACTGATTGATTCATCCCGCGTAGAAGATTTTAGAACATATCACACACTTGGGGCAGCGTTTCCAACAGGAAGTAGTACAATTAATACTTTTGCTCCACCTACAATTACATAAGGTAAATAAATGTAACTACTTTTTTTAACTATTATAATTTAATTAATAAGGCTTAAAAGTAAGCAGTATATAATTAAGGTAGACTTTTTTAAGGTTGCAGTCTCTAACGCGCGTGAGGGCTAAGGAGCGTGTTTATGCCACTATTTACGTGTTAGTGTAGCCTTAAAGCTTACCCTATACTATAACAACTTTTTAAACGACCTTATTATAGCAAAAGATAACAGTCCCTTATATAGAGAACCTTTAGATTAGTAGCTCTAGGTTAGTTAGCGCAACTATCCTGTAATCTTTAAGATAGCACTTAATTTCCTATGTATACCCTCCACAAGCTGCGACTGCAAGAGAGCCTTTAGCAGGGGGGGAAAAATACTTACTTATAACTATAAATATCTCTTAGGCTTTATAATTAAAGCTTTATAACTCTAGAAAAACTAGCTACACTATAAAGTTATTTTTAGTAAATTAAATAGCTTTATGTGCTAACGTACTTCACAGGCGAGTTGCTCACACACCTAAGTCGCTTACTTTTGCTAAGACCCCACTAAACTACTCTTCCTACACTAATGCATTCCCTATAACACTACTTAGACGCGCTAAAAGAATGTTAGATACAGCTTACACTCTAAGCTTTTAAACAAAACATAAAACTTTTAAAAAAATGTGCTGTAGCTATGTACAGAGTTTTATAAAAAACAATAAATAACTATAGCACTAGATAACCTTTACAAGCTAATTCTATAGCTAAATTATAAAAGCTAGGTAATAAAAAGAAGCAGGTAATTATTAAGACTATACTTAAGCTATATACGCAAGGAATTTCCCCTTAGATAGTATTTATAGCTAATATAGCTAATTCTTTGCGCGCTAAGTGTAATCTAGGCTATATTTGCATAAACTAGCCTAGTACGTTTGTAAAGCGTTATTTAGAGCTTAAAGTAACATTTAAGTGTAAGTATAACTATAAAAAAGCTTTTTATAAGAGTCCTAGAGTAATTTAGAGCAGGTTTAGCCTTATAGAGAATATTAAAGCTAAGTATAGCATCTAAAATAATAACACATATAACTTAAGCAAAATAAGGTTTATAATTAGCTATATATATCTTAACTATACTTACGCTTAAAACTTTACTTTAAGCTTTAAATAACGCTTTATAAACATACTAGGCTATTTTATATAAACATAGCCTAGATTACGCTTAGCGCGCAAAGAATTAGCTATATTAGCTATAAATGCTATCTAAGGGGAAATTTCTTGCGCATATAGCTTAAGTATAGTCTTAATAATTACCTGCTTTTTTTTATTGCCTAGCCTTTATAATTTAGCTGTAGAATTAGCTTATAAAGGTTATCTAGCGCTATAGTTATTTATTATCTTTTATAAGACTCTACACATAGCTATAGCACATTTCTTTAAAAGTTTTATGTTTTATTTAAAAGCTTAGAGCGTAAGCTGTATCTAACATTCTTTTAGCGCGTCTAAGTAGTGTTATAGGGAATGCATTAGTGTAGGAAGAGTAGTTTAGTAGGGTCTTAGCAAAAGTAAGCAACTTAAGTGTGTGAGCAACTCGCCTGTGAACTACGTTATATTAAAAGTAAGAAAGACTTTACTACTTTAAAAGCTTTAATAGTTATGTTATAACATTTAGTAAAAAGTTAAGAAGTATAAGCAGCTTTAATTAAACTGTAACTTAATTATATTAACCCCTACTGTTAGGTAAAGCAATTAAAAGTATATAATAAGTGAGACGTAACTTGTCTAGAAAGCCTGAGTCGAATCGTACTACTTCCTGATGGAAACGCTGACTTAGGGTATTGTATTATAGGCCCATACTAACTCTGAATCGAGGGCCCTAGCCCACAAACCTGGAATAGCGATTCTTGGATCCCCGCTGGCATCTCCGCCTGCCTCGACAACAGCCACAGAGAGTCGAGGATCCTCGGAGAGGCGATTTGCCAGGACAAGTCCTGCTGTGCCTCCTCCGATAATAATGTAATCATAAGTGGAGACTTCGGCCATGCTAGTGAGAAAAGAGATATGTTTATGGAAAGGAATGAGAATTGGAAGTTATGATAGTGATACAATTTGGAAATTGAATGATCAGGTTGAAATGAGTGAGTGATATGTACCCCAAAAGCGGTGGAATGATGCGGTAAGAGAAGTGGGCTGGTTCACAGCTCTGCCTCATTTGCGCTTCTCGGCCAGTTGGGATATAACCCACCAGTCTGTGGCGTTGGCTTGTCGGGTAAATGATAGCTTTGATGGCCGATGAAGAACCGTTACATGAATCCCAACCGGGGAGGAATTGCGGCGTAGTTCAGATCGTCACAGTGCATATCGGTGTAGTATATCAGCGCCGTCTCCGTTCCTCTTAATTGAACGGAGTTCGTCAGATGCGAGTTAGTGATTCACTTGCAGCATGGATGACAACTATGGGCGGTTTTCATGTGCTAACCGATGGATGTTCCGGCAGGGAATCGGTGTAGCTGTGATATGCAACGCACGGCGGGCCCAAACTGCAAAATGTGGGTCAGAATTCAAATCAATGTATTCGGATTCAACCACATGCTCATGAAAGGAGATTTCAAGAATCCTATTAGAGAGATAAACACATGCGTATAGATTCCATCATAGTTAAGAGATTGCCCTTAACCTGATTTCAGATCAAGGCCTTGGGAAGAATGCACAACCCGCTCATATCAATCCTGGCGGAAATTATGGAAGGACCAAGTTGTGGTTACTCCGATGGCGCTCTGTCCAGGTTGGGGATGACTAGAATTTGTTTTATTGCTCCTTTCCGTCGTTAGTGGTGTCTGGCCTAATTTATTGTGTCAAGAGGGTATAGTCGATCTACGGGATCTCCTAGCTTGTGGAAGTTGCCCTGCAAAGGGCTATAACCAAGTTACCAACCTTGCCTCTGTTAGATAGATGGTTTAAGATGCTAAATTTGCTCCGGTTTGCTGATTCCTGCTTCATTCCTTAAGATTTCTCCTACTCTAAATCCTAATGCCGACCTCATTCTAATGCCCCAATTCTGCTTGTCCATACGATACGAAGATACCACTCTAATTCGTTAGCTACCATGAACTCTTTGAGAGTCCTGTACATCTGCCTCTCTAATATAGTCGCCAGCTCATATAGCGTCCACCGAGGTGTCGCTGCTTGGTCCCTTTCCAATTTCAGTTTCCTGCCCCATGCTTGCCCCTCTCATAACCAAGTCATCGACCGGCTCTTCCTGTCGCCACGCGTCATCCATATCCGTAAAAAATGATGCGTCTGCGGTTGTTGCGCGGCCTCTCTTTGGTCTGATTCGAGCAGAGCCAATGGTAGGTGTAGCACGTGTCTCACGCGATATCATACCCATGTACTGCACTATTCACTCATTAGGCATAGCTCCTCTCTCGTACAGTATATAGTCAGCCCAGAGCTCTATCGAGCTCCTCAGACCTTACAATACACTCGTTCAATCCACTTTGTTTGGATCTCACTACCTTGTCGACTCGCTTCCCATATGACCCCTCCTCAGCTCATGCAAGAGTAGGCGGAAGTCCTTGGGCTCGATGATCTCGGTTCGCCCACCTCGAGGTGTTGTCGTTTGAGAAGAAGAGGGGTCTGAATGTTGGAACGCAAGCGACGAGAATACCCCCAGCTATCTCAGCTATCACAAGTATTGAACTGTCCATAGCACAATACGAAAGATCCTGATGAGATGGGCACTTCAGAGTCTGGATCAAGCGATCAAGGTTTACGCCCGCAGTTCTGTTTGTGTTAGTGAATAGATACATAAACAGAAATAGCCAGGCAATGCTCACCTAAGACCTACAGCAAATGAAGCTGTGATGGCCCATTTCTTTTTTGGTGTCATTTTCAACTTCCAAATGACGGGAGGTGGTAAGAACACGACCCATATATCTACAACCATTTAAACCCTCCAGAAAATATTCCAATGGTGATGATAATGCCACACATGCCACTCAAGGTAAGGTCCCATTGTGCGCAATAGGTCGGCATAGGAGACAAGTAGTGAGGATGCAAGCGACCCAGTAAAGAAAGACGAGGACTGCTGTGGCCATTGCTGCCCGATAGAAGATTGTCTTGCATGAGCTGAAGAGGGGTCATATGGTAAGCGAATCAATAAGGTACTGAGATTCAAGCAAAGTGGATTGCACAAGTGTATTGTAAGGTCTAAGGAGCTCGATAGAGCTCTGGGCTGACTATATACTGTACGAGAAAGGAGCTATGCCTAATGAGTGAATAGTGCAGTACATGGGTATGATATCGCGTGAGACACGTGCGACAGATTGTTGTCCGGAAAATCTCCATGTACAGAAGTAGTATCGCAAGACGAAACGAAGCGACCGATGTTGCCCAAAACCATTCCGAAATCCAGAACGCCTACGAGATTAGTCAACATCCGCTCCTATAGGTGCAGGAAGAAATTTGTGGTTAATTTCTTACCCTGGTGTATTGTTTTGTATGCTTGATAGAAAAGGCCATACCTTCAATGTATATACTATCCGCTCCATGGACAGGTTCGTAACGTGAACACCATGGCCGCCAAAAGCGATGCCTTTCCCTAGTTAGTCACTGGTTGTTACTTGAGGAAGCCCATAAAGATCCATAAGACAAACCGGCAACGGATACATCTATAGTATGACGGATTAAGCAAATCTACCGTTAATATTCAGCATAAATCCAAATGGCAAAATTGGGCCTCTACGTACCAGGCAAATCACAGCGAGGCTATCGTGGATTTTCAGCGGCCTCTTTCGGATCTGTATGGACAAAAATCGCAGAAAAATCGCACACGCGCTCAGTGATAGCAAAATGGATGCCGCTATGATATATGCCACAGTTTTCGTGCTAACATGCCCCATTTCTTTGGCGGTTCTTTGTACGGACAATATAATCTATTGTAGAAAAGATAAGGGGATGCGTTCTAGAGAGCCTCTGGGCCTACAAATCAACAACGGGAGATGTGCCCATTCTCTGTGTGAGCTGTCGACGTATTGATGTTTATTAAACAATGTGCCTCAGCTGGCATCAAGTGCCACCCATTCTCTCCGGACATTGTAGATTGCGGCACAGCACTGCGTTGCATTTCCTGCACCAAACACCAGGAAGGTGCATGCGGTGCTACCCACTCACGGATTCAACGTACAATTAAGCCAGGAAAATAAATGTATTAAAGCCATACAGCCTTATCTTCCTAGCAGTCCGAATTAGAAAAAGCTATGAAAGAGCTCCTCTACAGCTACGCCGCAATATCAGCCCTAGAATTTTCAAAACCTCTTTAGAATAGCTAAAATTGTCTAGTTGGCTTATGTACCGGCGCTCTTTCAACGACTGCAAAAGTAGCACACTTTGAAGTCTTCTATCGAAGGCGCCCGACACAGTATCCGGAGCCCTTCCATCTTCGATCGTCCGGCAACTATCGTAGAAGGATGTCGGATTCATACGCCGAGAACATGGCCGAGATGGCAGCGAAGCAGACAGGTAAGGATAATGGGACCTACACCACATCATATCTTACATCCCGAGGCATGTTGAATGAACACTTCGATCTTCTGACAGTGTATGCTATTGCTGAACATGCTCTGTATTCAGGGTGAACTTACGATCACAGAAATATAGGCTATCTCCTTAAGCCATCCATAGAGGCTTGTCTTTCTTCAAATCTTCGTATTGCGGATATAGGAACAGGAACCGGCAAATTTCTTCAACGCCTCTCCGAATCATATCCCACCGCACTTTTGGGTGGCTTGGATATATCGCCTGCGCTTTACCCACCGTCCGGCACGTTACCTTCCAACATCAGTCTCAAGGTCTTGGACATAAAACAACCAATTCCTAACCATCTTGTGGGGATTTATGATGTCGTATACGCTCGGATGCTGGCCGCTGCAATACAGCCAAATGAGTGGGGGAACATAGTCCGAAATATCTCTTATCTGCTGAGACCAGGAGGCTACCTACAATGGGAGGAATACGATTTTGTCGGGGTGAAGCATCTACGTGGTGGTTATGATTCGCGGGTCGAAACAGCACGATTCATGGGCAGATTATTTCGCGATGCACTCAAGGAAAATTTTGCATATGGCTGGAACATTCTGGCCGAAAAAATGCAAGCGGCCGGATTTATTTCGATTGAGACTGACATTGTGAGCTCTGATAGGGTACCTCAGACAAGAGAAAGGTTATCGATGAATGGCATGCGAGCTATCTTTTCATGGGCACATTTGAGAACCGTCAAGGGAGCGCCGGGTTCTCATACAAGGGAGGAAATTGAACAATATGGAAGTGGAAGCATACTCAGACATCAAATCAGGATGCTATGTGAGGTTTGATGTATATATATTCAGTGCTTTCAAGCAATCTGAGTAGCAAAAAGCACATGATGGGAGCGAGCAACACATTGTCTTTCACAACTACAGATTATATGTCTCAGCCTATTCTAAATCCTGGAGGCATCAAAGCCAGACGTCATCTTCTTTCAAAGATCAAACACAGTGCTCCCGGATTTGCTGCTAGCTGATCCCTCATGGTCTTGTCGAACACTTGTCCCTCGGGCTCATTGGAGGCAAATCTGATGTTGTAGCCGCTGAGAAGTGTGGCTGCGACAAGCCTCAGTTGAGTCGTTGCTAGATGTCGACCCACGCAAGCTGTACGACCTAATAGTGAAGATATTAGTATACTTTTCTCTTAGAGACTTAGAGAAAAAAACGGAACTTACCCACTCCAAAGGGCGCAAATGCTCGTTTGTCTTTGATCAACTCAGGCTTGCTGTATCAGCGCTCTGGAATGAAAGTATGAGCATTTTGGTAAGCAGCTTCCACTACAATCAAGTAAGAGTCAAATCCTCCTATATTGTCTAAATTGTTACAGAAATACCCGCATCTACCTATGGAATAGCGAGGTGCGCAGATTTTTGTATTTCCTGGAATGTAAGTTCCGTCCACCTTAAGGCCTTCTAGGGGTGTAACTCTTGAACTGAAAGTCAATATCGCCGGCAAAAGGCGCATAGACTCGCTGATCACCCCATTGAGATGAGGCAGTGACGAAAGTGCCGTAATGTTTGTACTATCCAATCCATGCAGTTCCTGCTGTATTTTGCTGGCGTGCTTTGGGTAACGCGCAAGGAAGTACAGAAGAATGATGAGACTTGGTGCTGTAGTATCACTGACAAAATGTTTAGCATTCGGAGCATCAACAACGTTCGGTGGCGCGGGTCCTTAACAAACCTTCCGGCAACGACCGAGGTTGCAATATCTCCGCTGAGAAGCCGCTGACCAACTTCAGTTTCCCCGTTAGATTTGTATTCTTTTATGAACCAGGAAGCAATATTACGTGAGTCGTGGTCTTCCTATAGATGTATTAGAGTGGTATATCAGAGATTGTTGTGCCAATTCAACTTACCCTCAGCCGAGTGTTGACGCAGTTATCCGCGAACTCGAGCATATGAAACCATTGCTTGACTTTCCAAATCCCGGGTGTGAACCGAAATGCGACTCTAGGTATCCAAATCGCTGGGCTAAAAGGACCTAGTAAACCTATTGCTGAACGCATGTTCAGAGCAGCATCGATCCACTTTCTACTCTTCATCATTCCAAAGTCCACGCCAAATCCGAAGTCGCCCATGGAATCAAATGCAAACCAATACATCAGATCATTCACGACTACTGGATTTGGGCCAGTTTCCTCAATGATCGATGTTAGCACCTGAACTTGCCGAATGAGCTTCTGGTTGTAGTGGAGGAGAGCTTCAAAATTGTCAGCGTTGTGCATTTATCTATGATGAAAAGCTTACCCGTCGTGCTCAGCGAACGCTCCCATACGTTTCTTCTAGCATGGTGCGCTGTTTATCTCTCGTGAAAATGGAAGAAATTCGAGGATAGAGCAAGTCGTACCAATCAGACCTATTGTTCCGATTTTTGCACCGTCCATGCCTTCGAATGCCACAGGATGAAACATCGTTATCTCACATGGGCCTTATAGAGATGAGGGCTTGGTGTATATATCAATGGAGATCGAGTATCACATACCTGTCCGTACGAATGTTCCGTATTGACGGTGCCAGTCCTCGAGAACGAGGTGTCCTTGGGAGTCTCGACATCGCCACACATGCCATAATTTTGAGAGAGCGGCCAGTTTTGGTCCAGGGAATTTGCAGAGACGATGAAAACATAGGCGGTAGCATGCAATGCTGGAAAGTAAAGCGTTTAAATAGGCGGCTATTAGAAAACTCGCTTGTGTCATGCACTCAGATTGATTTCCCAGTGGCATAGTAAAGTATTCCATGGCAAAGGATAAAGGCCACGACGTGAGCTATAATAATTTCAGGAGCCTGTACATGCCACTCTCCATGAATGAAAAAGCTACAATGAGCGAGAACGCCAACAACAGTTGCAAAGACAACATCGATCTCCATGGCTATGGCTCGAGGAGGTTGAATGAATATGAAAGATGCGGACGATAAGAAATGAATTTTGGGGGATCTAGCTGGATTTCGTTGACCACTGCCCTCTGGTCTCGACATGGCGGACTTACTGTGCCTCAACCTAGGCAAGATTAGCAGACCAGGGGGTGGGTTTCTCCTGTTGTGTTTCGTTTGCATGATGAATACTACCTTGGGGTGAATGTGGCGATGTCCAATGAAAGGATTGCGATTTGGACCCAGGTCCCACTTTGCCGGAGATCCGAGCTGCAGTTTTATCCGAATGCATGTGCAAAGATCAATGTCTAAGCGCCTTGCAACATATCAGCCCCAAACGAGTACATAATTGGTATACCCAGCATAGCGCGTTTTCAATCCGAAATCTACTCAAATTTCTGCCTAAACTTCGTTCTTTCGTTCTCGCCATGGCTGCCGTCTCCAATCTTGCCGTTGTTATTTGTCATGGCTGCTATCACTCCCCAGAACCATACATGCCGTTAGTAAAGGCGTTAAACTCTCGAGGATTTGATGCGCATTGTCCCCAACTACCCACGGCTGACCTGACTAAATTGAATGTCGGGGACGTCCACCAGCCAGACTTCGATCGCGAGCCACCAGAAGCAGGTTATCCGCAAGGAGAGCAGGACAAGGAGATTGTTGTTGATGTACTCAAACATCTCATCAATGAGCAGGGGAAGAATGTCCTCCTAGTAGGTCACTCGGCCGGGGGCTGGGTCGCCACCGAAGCGGCTTTGCCGGAGTTTCAGTTGAAATCCCGGCAAGAAAAAGGCCTGTTTGGGGCGTGATTGGTATTTTCTACATGGGTGCATTCATAATTCCCATGAGAGAATCTGTTCATAGCTTCTTCTAGCCGAAAGAAGGTCCCCGTGGTACCACCATTCATGGAATTCCATCAGCGTGACCAACAGGAAGGACTACGATTCGTAGAATACGATACGTTACGATCACGTGCATTGTAGAGTTGTAGTAGGTCTCTAAGTTGTATTAAATTGCACTTAAGCCTAAAAAGTATATTGTATTACAACTTGTATAGACTTTTTTAGTAGTAAGGTTTAAGGTGAGGCCTAAGGTGAGGTTGTTGTTGTATGTACAGAGCACATAAGGGCTATAGGCAGTGATTGTATAAAAAAAACAGTAAGAAATTACCTATTTTTGCATTGTCTATCTTATAACCTGTTTAATGTATACAGATCTACTTAGTTAGTAGCTCTAGATTAGTCGTTCACAGTACCCTACTATTTTTAAGATAGCCCTTAATTTCCTCTCTATACTAGCTACTAGTTGCGACTGTGAGAGAGCTCTAGAGGCAGAAGAGCTGTTACTTTTAAGAGGAATCTCCTTAGTAGAGCAACAATTTAAGCAGTACAGCTGCAAAAGAATTAGCTTTATTATAGGCTAGTTGCTAGTAAGCTTAGTAAGTTAGTTAATTACATAAAATCTGCCCTATCTAATTGTACTATAAACTAATTCTTAGCAATTGTATTGTAAGTACAGTGAATTAGTTTGTACTAACTACAACTTGTAGTCCCCTCTGCTCCTCTAGTAATTGTATAATCGTACTAACAAACTGAGTCGTAGGGCGGTTGAAAACTCCCAGTCGAATCGTATTACTTCCGATTGGTTACGCTGAATTCCATGTAAGATCTGGCATATCGGTGTCTACAGTCTCCCCATAACAGCTAACAATTTTGCTAAGAAACACGGCGCGGCTGGACTTGGGACTATTGTGAAGGCTGAAACTTCCCTCTTCAATGATCTCGATCCGGAAACTGCCAAAAAAAATAGGCCTCCAGCCTTACCGCTTCGCCTATTCTAACGTCGAAGCTTACAAACAATGCATACTCTGAATATCCATGCGCCTATTTGGTGCTGGAAGCAGACTTGACCCTCCCAAAAGAGTATCAAGAATGAATGGTAGCCGCCCAGAGCCAGAAGTCTGGTTCGTTCACTATATATCGGTGTCCTGCGGGCCACTCGCCACACCTCAGCTGGACAGAAGGAGTCATAGACACAATTGGGGAGTTTGTGAAGACCATTGGTTTCCTGAACGATTTACCAATAAAGGCCATCTGACTATTTGATATCGGGGAGGAATCTACGTTATTAGTATTAGCGAAGGGTTTTTTTCCCGTATTCTCACCCGGTAGGGCATTAAGTATATATTTGTGGCTCCTTTTGACCACGAAATTTCGAATGTTGTATTCGTTAGGGTATAATCTGAATTCTATTTCAGAACTCCTGGAATGAATGAATGTTCATGAACTTGCTGATCCGGAGCCACGCCTTTCTTGCGACTCTTCCGGGTTGTGTGCCTGAGTGTTGGAAGGTTGTTAAAAGACTATATAGCGCCCTACAGAAAGGAAGATGTCTACAAGGACGTTGTACCTTACTAGTCTCAGAACGAATTTTTATCCAAATAATTGAAGTGTTTATTTCTAGGCAAAAGGGCCCTAGAAATGGAGTTACGGCTGGATATGCAACGTGTGACCTTGTTTTGCTCCTCTTCAGCTAAAAAAAAAAATTGCACAACGACTAGGGAGACAACACCAATGGTGTGAAGTTTCTAGGAGCCCTATCAGCATGAATAACAGGATTAATTACCAAAAGTGTATACCGAGAGTCTATATACATGCGAAGAAGTGGGCTAGGTAAAACGGGGGACATAACAGGTAGTGTAACAGGTAAATACCGTAACAGCAAGGCAAACAGTAGCGAAACCCATATTTCCAGATAAGAGGGGCCCTCTTACCTAGTGTTCTTAATTCTTAGTAACGGAGCGTTTTTAAGGATGTTACTGTATAGAGGAGAAGAGGCAGCTGTACAGATTGTATAAAGTTACACCTTGTTTTAATTTAATCTAACTGTCACGATCAGGCTTGGCCTTGGCCACATGCGGCCATATCGGACCAGAATAGACAAAGGATGATCGGCCGGATGCAGCGAGGCATTGAAGAATGCAGCAAGGCGTAGAAAAAAGAAGTAGCGTGTATATAAGCAGTAACAAATATTTGCCTTAGAGGGCAGCGATTCGTTTAAGTCTTCAGATCTAAGTATTTAAGCACCAAACTTGTTCAGGTCTTAAATCAACTACTTTAGATAAGAGCAGTTCATCTTGTCTTTAGTGTATTAGACACCTTTATTTTAACATTTGAGTGGTATCTGAGATTTTAGGGCTTGTGCACATTCGACACTGATACCTTCCAAGTTGTGAAACGAGGACTTCATATTCCTAATGCCGAGTGGTTCTACCTAGTTGTTTGAGACATTGCTATTTCGTGGATTGGGGTGAGGTTTGGCGTAGGTATGCCAGCATGAGCGAGGTCGTCCATTGCGTGAAAGTAGTGGCTGGAATTTGAATACCGAATATGCACTTTGCCTTGATTTAATGAAATAGAAATTTGTTATTAGCATTTGTGAGGGAGGAGTTGCTGCAGAGTTGAGGGCTAATTAAATGCGGCGCGGTTCCTTGGGGGCCAGCACGCTAAGTGGCCAAGCCCCCACAACACGCCTGAATGATTAGGGTTAGAGGTCTGAAATAAATATGTTTATTTCACTAAGATGTGCTGCAATATACATCATCCCGATATCTCAACGTTTTCGGGGCCCGATGTATGTACCTACAGGGATACCTCGCAAATAAGTAGTAGCCTTGGTTTCGCAGGGAGGCTAGGATCTAGGTGTTTCTGCGGCGTTCACAAGGCCCGAGGTGCAGGAAAAGGCGAGGGAGCAGTCTATCCGCGTTCAATCGGCGTGATAGTGGCCTGAGTTAACAATCAGACTGCATGATGAAAGTCTACAAGTTTGGCGGGATCGAGTAATGGCCAGCTGCGTGGGTGGTTCCGCTCTCCAAGCGCTTGCCTATCGGATTGTGATCGGAACATCTATGCATTGATCGGTTATAGGGTTGAACGCAACAACAGAAGGCTTTATGGCATGCCAGTGCGGCACGGACCGACCCCAGTACTATACCCGCGTGATTGTTCAGATCCTTATTCGGGGATCATCATATTTGCTAAAACTCCTATTAGTGGACTGAATTGGTTTTAATATTCTTCGGGAGTGTGAGTATGTCAAAGAGAGGCGTAGGATGTAACGGTGTCCCTTCATAGAGGGCGGTGTGTTTCATCAACTTGATCGTCCTCGTCGCAGCTGGGATGTCTTGTGCGTCTGTTCGCTAGAGAGTGCCAGCTCGAGTGAGGATATCAAGAGGATTGTAATGTTCGTTTCAGTCGTGAGCGTGGCTACTTTTCAAGGTCTGGTTAACAGCGAAATGACTTCTAACCTCTCCGTTCGTTGCCTTCTCATCGCTCTTCTGTTTACAACTATCCATGCAGCCCCGCAGCCCAACAATTCATATATAACCGATTCATGTCGGTGTTTTCCAGGATATCGCTGTTGGCCAGATCCTGATACTTGGGACAATTTTAACAAATCGCTCAATGGAAATCTTATTCAAACGGTTCCTATCGCCGCTACCTGTGACTACAAGCTCAATAATATCGGCCTTTGGGGTTTAGGACCATTTATGAAATCAGTAGGGGAGCGTCTGGGGATGGTGGCAGGGAAGGCAAAGGTCGAGTAATTCAATGTCTACCGTTGGATGGGTTTCCAGTTTTTTTCTGCTAACTTGATTGCATGTGAAAGTGTGGGCATTGCCAAGAATAATGGTTCGCTAACGAAACGCACACTCACCGCCCATTGGTTGGGCCCTAAAAATGCGAACTTCTGCACAGACGACCAGACACACTCAACGACGGGAAAAAAAAGCTCCGCGACATTCTTGCTAATGTGCGTCCCTATGTAGCGAGCCACCAAGCGTAGCGAGCCAAATCATGAATACTTTGATTTGAAATCAACCTAGACCTCGCGTGTGCACAGTATTTGACCTGAATATCTGTGGGCCTTGTGGGTGGGCCATCCTAAAGTCCCGAGACACTGCCAAACTGAAAATTTGCGTTGACGCCGCCGAATCACCGCCTGGTTCGAAGAGGGCCTCATTTTCCAGGCGCACACAGCCTAGCACAACCACAGCTCCACCACGCGCTCTCAGCACTCCCAATACACCAAAATGTGTGCTCTCCGATCTTCTAAACCTGTCCGCCTCCTGAGAGGCTACAGCTAGCGTGGGGTTGGCCCGTGGAGTTGATTCATGCATCGTCGCCACGCCCCTGACGGCTACCTTCCAATCAATGCGATATGATCCTAGTCATTCATAAGCGCCACTAGGCCGCACTCGCGTATTGCAAGCGCGCAAGCCACTTACGCGTCTGACCAGCATGTGGCTGTAGCCTCTTTCATCTCGTCCTTGTCGCGGCCTTTGAGGAGGCCAAAGACCCATGAACGCCTTGCCTGGGAACGCCGAGCCAGTGAGTATACATATCTGATGGAATCTGCCACTTCATACTGAGCTTCACAGCGAAGCCGCACGACCTGGCTAAGCACGCAGCATAGCGAGGTCGGCCACCAATCTCACCATCGTAGAGAATCTCCATCTAGCACCCTACTCTCCTCTATATGTCGTCCGATCGTGGAATCATTACGGCTTCGGTCTGCGTCGCTATCAAAGCCCAGGCTGCTTCTAAGGAGTGGCAAACATCGCTACTACACGAGGCATCACCGAGAGCGTGAAAAGTTTTAGGGGGGAAAGAGTGTAGAGCTCTTCACATTCTGTTTGTCCTACGGAAGTAACGGTAATGACCGTCCTGACTTCTCCTCTGTAAACTGAAAAGTCTACCAACTCGCTCGGCAACGAGAGCTCCAGGCCCTAGTTACTGACGCCGGCCTCTCGCAGCGCTTCGATGATCACCTCCTCGGCATCAAGGTCATCTTCTATGTCCGGCAATGCCTTTCCGTCGGTGAAGACCTGGTGAGTTCCCTTGGCTGTCTTCGCGTGGGACGACTCATTGCCCTTGAGGTCGGTGATTCCTTCTACCGCATTCCACCCTGTGGTTCGATATATCTCCGTGGGGTTGACGTTATCAGCAGGCAACATGACGGTGCCGTCCGTGTTAGAGAGGACGAAATCCTTCATGTTCTTACCGAGTGAGTCCTGGTCGAGGAGCTCGACACCGATGATGCCCGCCAGACCGTTGAGCTTAAGGTAGTTCTGCACAGCGACGATGAAGGCATTGTCGTTGGTGGTCATCGGCGGTGGTGGGCCTTGGCGGAATTCGTAGGGGTGGAACTCGCCGTCGGCATCCAGCACGAAAACATAGCCATGCAGGGCTTTGTGGTTAAGCTTGTTAGTCTTCATTGGGCGGGTCTAGAGGCCAGGGAGATTGTTCATGGACTTTCCGAACATGACCATGGCCTTGGCCATCTTTACGTGACCATGGACCAAATGCAAGCCAAACTTGTTTTGGACGTTGAACTCTTTGATGAGTGCCTTGAGTCCTGAAATAAACACCTCAGCCACTTGAGGTTGGTCGGCATCGTCGGGGAGAGTATTGTAGCTTTGCGAGGGAGCAGTTAGCTTAAACTTATATATGAGGAGAAAACCTACGCAGCTAAGGCTTACATGTCTCCAGACTTGGTCATATCATCCATTGTAGGCGGTTGGTGAAGACCAGGGATGGCCATGTTGCTGAGAACTGCTGCGGAAGCCATAATAGCTAAATGTACTTCTTGTCTTGCTTTGGACTTGAGGTTGATGGCTTGAGTATTGGTAAGAATGAATGGAAATTATCAGAATGCTTGAAGATGGGAATTGAGAGTAACATGAGACGAGACTCTCCAGGTTTATATAGACTGCGAGGTCGATAGACAAGAGATTTTACGAAAACCATTCTTATTGCAGCCTTCTGCGACAAATTATCCAGGAATGTGTCAATTAAACGCCAGGATTCAAAGCATCTTGCTGCTCAGTTGATGAATCTCATCCAGTCAGTTAAATGAGACCATTTCAGAGGGCTCAGATGAAGCTGTGCCGCATAGAAAAATGAACTGCGCCGCTCCAGCGTGCCAAGAATGCGCATGTGGCCATACCGTAGTAGGTTGGCACGGAGCTACGCGCTGGATATTGAACGTTCAGTAGCAGCGAGTAAGCAAATTTCTGGTCACTCTGCTCATATTGCTTGCAGATTCCATTGAGTAGGATTTGTTATTGGCTACTGCAGCCGAAGATTCGCCGCGTAGCCATCTATTGTGTGCGTTACCATGTTTTAGCGCGTAATGCACGGCCTCGCGTAATGCACGATTTTGGCAATCCGCGCCTTTTACTTTTAAAGCTCTAGAGACTCACATAAATTATAGATTATATAGATTTTTTATTATAATACTAATTAAATGCTATAGATTTTATTCCTAGCAATAATTTATATGCAATACCTTATAGGGAGGTTAATTTGCCTGCTATGTTAAGTTCTGCTTAATGCTAGCTCCCTCTTTTTATTTAATGCTGCATTATTATTAAAATCCTCTAGCGTACTAGCAATAGGCGTAGGAGCTTTCTGCTTGCCCTTTGTTGCCTACTAGAGGTTATTTTTAAGCTGTTAATTAACCTACTAGGTAAGCTCTGCCTTCTCTTATTAAGCTGCTTTTGTCTTAAGCTCCTATAAGTAAGCCTTCTTTACTATTACTACTCTATACCTCTTCTCTTTAACTGTGCGCGCCTTTTTAGCTTTCTTTACTTTTTTACACTTTACCTTTTTTTATTTTTAAAGCTGTAGAGCTTTCTTTTTAGCATCTTTTTATACCTAATAATTACATGCTTCTTAGACCTTGTTTAGGGACTAAAAGGTTGCACTACTATAATATTCTAGAGGTGCTTCTAGTAGGAGAGGCTTACTACGCTAGCAGCGCTTTTTTTATTAATTAGCGCATCTTTAACCTGCTTAAGCTTACGCTAGAAGAGGATGCAACATACTAAGAATAACTAAACAGTTTTTTTAAGCTTTTGTATATCTCTTTTATAAAGATTACTAACAACCTTATTTAAAAGGCCTTTAACTCTTTTCTAATTCTTTGCACTAAGCGCTAAGCTAGTGCTTTTACTAAAGAATAGTTGCTTTTTCTACTTATAGTAAAATTAATCTAAGACTACTTACAGCTTAAATAGTAATAAACTAGTTACTCTAAAAGCACTAAGAATAGTGTTATGCTTAAAAAATGTTTTCTAGGCTTTATTAAACATGCTATAGAAGTCTCTTTTTTTAATTAATAATAGTCCTTAGCATTTATCTATAAAGCTAGCTAGCTTAGCTAAGTAGGCTAATAAAAGAGGTTTAAACATGCAGACATTAAGAGGCTGCAGTGTATAGGTTACATGTAGCAGGTATACAGCTAGAAGGATTTTATTATTGTTGCAGTACTTAATAAACTCTATTAAAACATGTAATCTATAGCTATCTAGAAATAAAAGTTAGTACACTTATTACACCTTTACCTTAGTCTTATAATTAAACACATGTTTAAGCTATGCTAGGCCTAGTTTATTATTTATCTAACTTATAAGTAATAAGGTAAAGAAAGCTTAATGCTTAAAAAGGTTAAAATTTTATAGCTAAAAGTCTTATATATAGTTAAAAACAGCTTAGTAGATTAGTGTAGGCGTAAAAAAGCTACTATTAGTGTAGATGTAAGCTATTATTATAATTTACTTATAATTACTATCCTGTATAAGCTGCTACTTAATACCTTGCTTATACTGCTGTCTAGAGAAGATTTGCTTTATTTTTAACAGTACCCTAATTAGGAAGCCCTTTTTATCTATATTATAGGTATGCTGTGGTTCTATGCTATATTGCTTAATTTTTTTGCGTACAAGCTTAAAATATAGCAAGTACTTAAATGCTAAGTTAGCTTTATTACACGCAGCGTCTATGCTAGATGTCTATTAAGATAATAAGTTAATAGAGTGCCTTTTAATAAATTAATTAACCTAGCTTTTACTAGCTTACCTACTACTTATTTTTATTATAAAATTTTAAATTATCTGTCTTAAAAGGGATAGACCTCTTGTGTAAAGCCTATTAATGTACTTTACTAGCTTTTTCTCCTGCACTAGGCTAAGTAGTTGCTGATTTTTAAGTTTCTCTGCACGCAGGCGGGTAACGCGTTAGTGACGCCTTAAGAGCGTAGATTAATTAACGCTATACTGCCTAGCTACTGCAGCATAATTTAGTGATTCTCTAGGTTTTAGTAATTTTAGCAACTCTAAAGCGGCCTTAATACTGCCTATATTAGTTAAGAGAGAGGTGGTTGAAGTTTTGACAGCTTCGCGCAGAACCGTGCATTACGCGAGGCCGTGCATTACACGCTAAAACACAGTAATCCGTGCAATGTCTTGGCATTCGCGTCGCGTCTTTTCCGCCTTACTAAATCTATAAGAACTTTAACAAAGCGACAATTTGCCTCTATTTATGTCTAAATATCTGTTATTTTAGTTAGATCTTAAAGCTGTATGTACTCCCTAATTAAGAAATAATAAAGCTAAATTTTAAAAGTTTAAAATAGCCCTTAGTAAACAATTTTTAGCTAAAAAGCTATAGCTAGAGCAGCCACGCGTTTAAGTACTAGTGCTACCTGTTAACTGTTAGCTAGAGCCCTTGCTGCAGCAGCCTTTAAAGCACCTTTTAGAGGTTAAAAAGCTAGTAGATTAAATAAGCAGATAAAAAGAAAAGTTACTTTTATAAATAAGCAGCGCACTACTGCTTTAACAGCTACTATTAAGATACTATTATTACTACTATTAGTAGTAAAGCTAGAGTATTAACTATTACTTTAGCAGCAATTATCTCTACCTTCTAAAGAGCCTAACTATAAGATAAATATAAAGTATATTTTATAGATAAATAAAAACTAGGTAGTTAATAATAGTAATAACTACTAGCAGCTAGTCTTCTTTATGTTATTTATAAAAAATAAAGTAGACTTAGTGCTTACTAATGCAGCTTTTATAATTAATAAGTAAAAAGTTACTTAGCTTAGTTACTTAGTAAGCTATTAAGCTAAGCACTTTAAATTTACCTAGCAGCACATTACCTTAGCTAACTTTAGTTTTATAAAGGGCGCTTATTTACTTAAAGTAGTTAATTACTATATTAAGCGCTGTACTAAGAGAATTAATAAAGTAAATTTTAAAGTAGAGCTTTATGTTAAAGTTAAGGCTTTATAAAAGGCATTTTTATATAAGTAATTAGCTAATAAGCTATTATTAGATTTAAATACTACACTAATAATACTAAGCAGCTATTATACCTAGCAGCTACTATGTAAAGCTAGAGTAGTAAAGCAAGTAAAGAAGATATTTAAGGTAATAGACTACTACTTAGTAATTACATGTATGTAAGAGTGCTAGACAGAGCTTTATAATAACTATAAAAAGTAGTGCTATATCTACCTAGACTAATCTTACTATGCTATTAAACTAGTTAACTTTAAAGTGTAAAGAAAGTCTATAGTTATAGAAGAGTCTTTTATTATAGTACTTAGTTATAAGATTATTAAGGCGCTATAGTAAAAAAGTAATAAGCTCTAAGTAAACTTTTACATGTAAAAAAAAAAAAAAAAAGCTAAGCTTATTATTATTAAATAAGCTGTTATTTAAAAAGCTAGTAAAGTAAATAAGCTAGCAGCAGTTACTTAACTAAATAGTAAAAATAAGTAATAAAGAAGCTACTTAAGTAAAGTAATAAAAGTTTTAATAGCTTTATCTCTAACAGCTTTAAGCATAGGCTAGTATCTCTTCTATAAAAGCTGCTCTACTTTCTTACTACTAGCAGCTATATGCCCTACTAGTTATTACCTTAATAGTGCCTTAATTTTTAAGTTGTTCTTTAAGTCTTATAATAAGAAGTAGTAAATAGAATACTTAGAAAATAGTAAAAGACTTTTTTAAGTAGTTAGTTAAGTAATAGCTAAAGAATAAAAAAAATTTTTACTTTTACACATAAAAGGTAGTAACTAAGAAGCTATAAACTATAAAAGATCTCTATAAGATAAGTAAAGTTAAAGATAACCTATATACTATTACTATTACCTAGTTTAAGCTTAAAGATAGGCTTATTTACTATCTTTATAAAGATCTTTATTAGTTTAAGCTAATATATTATACAGCTAGTAGCCTGCTTAAGATAGGTAGTAGTAAGTAAAGCAGAACTAGTAGCAGAAATAATATAGCTAAATAATAAATTTAAATTTAAACTTTTCTACTTTTTTAAGCTTTCTTAGCTCTCTCTTTACACGCTCTAGCTTCTCCTACTTAATATATAGCCCTTCTGCTACATACTTAAAGTGCTTTTAAGTAAAGCAGTTACATTTACTTTTTTAAATAGCTGCCTTTAAAAAAGCACTAAAGTTACTACTAAAACGCCCTTAAATATATAGATAGTTTTTCTTAATTTACACTTTAAGCACTATAAAAGTAAGCTTTATTAGATTATAGTTAAGCAAGTATAAAAGTAGATACCTTACTAAATACCTGCTAGCCTTAATAATCTATGTTACCTTATTATTTATATAAATTAAGATGTTATTTAGAATAATTACTAGGTGCTTCTTACTATACACAACCTAAAGTGTAAGGATTAGACTCTCTTTAATCTACTTAAGAAACTGCTTTTAATTAAAGTAGCCTTCTTTTACAGCTATATAAGGGAGATAGCTGT